TGAAATTGGAGTCAGTGCTCAAACTGCCAGTCCAATGTTCCTGTTTGGGCTCAAAGTGTAACTTGGACTCCTTTCTCTGGCAGGACCCCTGAAGAAAGATGATGGAGACCTGCAGAAAGCTGTAAGCACACAGAGGTGGGGCTGAAACTCTGGGAGTTGTGGCTTCCCCCACTCCAGTCTGACTCTTTGCTCTCCTGCAGTGTCTCATTGAGGCAGTGACAATCATGGACATCATCTGCAAGCAGGACTCCTCCTACGTGTACCGTGCTGTCTCCTTCCTGAAAATCCTGCATGGCAGGATTTGTGGGGATGCCACTTATGCCAGGGCACTACTGCCCATTGCCCAGTTCTTCCTGAACCACAGTAAGTCATCAGCTCCCACTCCCTCATCCACAATCTAGTCTTGCATACTCCAGCACAGCCTTTTGTCCTGATAGTTTGCTGGCTCCCAGAGTTGGTAATTCCACCTTGGCTGTACTCTGGGATGGATGATCCCACTCCAGGAGACCCAGGAGCTGAGGGGTCCCATGCTCTTTAGAAAAACATAACCCAGATCTAGCTTAGCCCCTGGAGCCAGTGTTGGCAGGGCTGCTGGGTGGGCTGTGCTCAGCAGTGTGCTGTGTCCTCCCAGGCAAACTGGCAGCTGTGGATTCAGATGCAATCTACAAACACTTGTTCACTGATATCCCTGCCCAGCTCTTCCACAACCCATCACTGGCCTTCGAATTTGTCCAGTTCTGCAAAGACAACAGCCAGCTCTTCACGGACACCTCCAGCATATTCAGGCAGAGCTTCCCAAATCTCTTCAAGGTACAGCTTGCTGGAGCAGCAGAGGGGAGAGCCTGCTTCACATTCCTTTCTGTGCCCCAGAACTTCCTGTTTGCACCCCAGAGCCCTCCAAGTGCCTCCATGGCAGTGCCAGGGAGAGCACAGGCAAGAAGGACTGTTACAGAGTTTTAAAGAGGGAAGAGGGTTCTGGGTGTGTTTAGCACTGCCAGGAGGGGAGAGTCTGTGTTAACAGGACTGCCAGTGGGTTGGGAAGCACAGTGAACACAGAACACAGCACTTTGTTCCTGGAAAAGTTTAGTAAGTTGCAGCTTACCAGCCACTGAAGCAACTGCCAGAGGCCTGTGCTGAGCTTCCAGCAGCCTCCTGGGTTTTGACCAAACCCTCAGATTTCTCTGGTTTTGCTTTTCAGAAGTGGTTTTCCATTCCCCATCCCTTCTGTCACAGCATGGAATTGTCTGGGTGTGTGGTGGGGTAGCTGGGATAGTGCAGCAGTTTTTGCTTGTTCCTTGCAGTTCCTGGCATGGAACAGCCCACCTCTTATCTCAGAGTTTGTGGACCTTCTCCCATTTCTGCTGGATGCAGGCACAGCCATTGAGATCTTCCATTTGCTGCTTGACCTGCCCTGTCTGACAGCAGCTCTGGACATCCAGCTCAGGTAATGCACCTTCCCTTCCTCTCACTTGCTCATCAGTGTCTTGACATCAACCACAGCCCAGTACACTCTTCTCTGAGCCCCAGCTTTCCTCTGGCTGCTGCTGTCACAGATCTACAGTCAGGTTAACACAAAGCTGGACTGTCTCTGGGGCTCAGGGAGCTGTTGTTATTCCCCTCTCCCTGTCCAGCTCCAAATGGTTGCCACATGCTGGGTCTGCCATGAGCCAGCACCTCAGCACAGAGGTGGGGGCTACCTGATCTTCCCTCCCTGCTCTTACCCCCCTTTTCTGGCTTTGTTCCCCTGAAGGCATACAGAGGTTTCTTCCTGAGGTCATTAGGAACTGTGAGTCTCCAGGAAGGTGAAACAGGACTGGAACTGGCTGTACCTCTGCTCTTCCTTGTCCTCCCAACATCAACAGCTCTGTCTGGAGTGCTTAGAAAAGAGAGACATCCAAGAGGCAGATGTTGGTGGGCTTGGGTGACTGAGGGTGCAGAGTGCTGTTTTTCCCTTTCCCAGGAGTGATACAGAAGCAAGTCTGGAACTGTTGCCTGAGCATGGGGAGGGTCTGAGCTCATAATTTTCTGTCATACTGATTGTCTTCTGGAGGACCTGGACTAACCAACTTGCTGTCACTGGTTTAGTGTTCAGTGTTCATGATTCCAGCTGTGTCCTGGACTGTTCTCATAATGCATCATGTTCTCTATGTGTTTCCTGCCAGGGCAGCTGCTCTTCCTACCTCTGAGAAGGCCACAAATGACCCAGCTGTGAAACCAGCCACCTGCCTGGAAGCCTTTCGTCATCCCCTCTACAAGAGCACATTCCAGCACCTTCTCCGCACCAGATCTGCTCCTGAGGACACCCCAGAGAGGTGGGAGCCTGCCACCAGGGTGTGGTTCAGCCATTCAGCTCTGGGAGGCAGCACTGGGATTACTGGGAAAGGCACAGTCACTCTGGGGCTGGGGCGAGGTGCATTTCCCTGTGTCAGCTTTGCCAGCACTCAGAGGCCATGTGGGGGATAGGGAAGGGCAGCCAGGAGAGTAGCTGGGAACAAGCCTTCAGCAGTAACTCTCCTCTTTCCCACAGTCTGATTCCACTTCGGCAGCTACTGGGATCCCTGGCTGGCAACCCAAGGGTGGTGCAGTGTGCAGAGACTGTCCCTGTCCTATTGGAGCTCTTTTTCAGGGTGGTGGCAGAGGTATGTCCTTTTGGGGGAGGTTGGCTCCCACTTGTGCCACAGGGGTCTCTTGTTGTGTGAAAAACAGTTGAAGAAGCAAAATAGTTAAGACGCTGCAGCTTCAAGAGAGGGGTGCACCAGGGGAGGGTGGGTTTAATACTGGTATGAGCCAGCACTGAGCTGGCCTCTTCATGCAGAGAAGCAGAAAAGCTCCATGATGCAGTGTCAGGTTCACTCTGTGCTCTCAGCCAGCTGTAAAGGAGAGGGGTGAGAGCAGAGTGCCTGATAGCTGCTTTCTGCACTGCTACCCCCCTGCAAGATCAGGCAGTTTCTCTGCCAGCTGTCTGATGTGGCTGGTTAGTTTGGGGTTTGGCTGCTGAAAGCCACTTGTTTCAGCCCTTGCTGAAACAAGGGCTGTTTTTCAGTCTGCAGATGGGTCTCTAATAAACCAGCTGGTGGTGCTGCTGCTGCAGAGGAGCGACCAGCTCTACGAGATCCCAACGTTCAAAGATGACGTGTACAGGTGAGAGGGGACAGGAGGCCCAGCCAAGCTCCCAGCCCTTCCACTGGCTGCAGCCTGGCATCCCAGAGCAGCCCAGGAGCCTTTTCAGCTGTGGCCCAGTCCCTGCTGTGACACACCTTTGGAGGGTGAAAAATAGGAACACCCTGAGGGTACAGCACTGTGCCAGTGGCTGGGTGCTGCCAGCCCCTCCTCGGATGGGTGATGACCACCTTGCCCATGGTCTGAGCTCTGCCCTTCTCTCTGCTCCAGGGTGCTGAGCTCACAGCTGCCCATGCTCTGCAAGCTACACCCTGCGCTCGTTGTGGAACTGTCCACAGAGATTCTGGAGTTCTCAGGAGCAGTCAGCAACATCCAGAGCAAGGAGCCCATCTTCACCCACGTGGTGAGTGGGGCCTGTGCGTCTGCCACAGGCTGCTCCAACTGTGGTGCAATCTGGCGGTCACCTTCCCTTTCCTCTCCTAGAGCATTAGCGAACCTGATTTTCTATTCCCTAAAAAATTACTTGATTCCCTCTCCTTGTGCTTGCCCTGAGCACATCTGCCTTTGCCCCAGGTCTGGGCTGTCGGGGAGTACCTGTCAGTGTCCTACGACAAGCGCTGCACTGTGGAGCAGATCACACGGTTCTTTGAGACCCTGGAGGCCGTGCTGTTTGAGATCACCCAGCTCCGGCCACTGGCCAGCACCCCCAGCTGTGCCCCCCGTGCCATCAGTGTCCTCATGGCCACCTTGACCAAGCTGGCAGCCCGCAGCCAGGACTTGATCCCCAGGTGAGGACGGATGGTGGGGATTGGCAAAGGGTTGAAACGTGCAGATCTCATGAGTCCAAACATGGGTTTGCTAATGATAAATGACCGAATTTGTCGACTGATGGAACCTGATACTGAAACAGGACAGAGGAGATAAACTGTGGAGGGGCACAGTTCGGGGAAGTGGGATTCATCTGCTGACTAATGCTCTGTACCTGATGTTCAATTGCACTAGTCTGTGGGCGTTCACAGGCTTAAGTAGTGACCTGGCTGGGTGTAAAGGTCCTGCCTGCTGATGTCTGCATCCTCCTCTCCTGCAGAGTGTCCATGTTCCTGTCCAAGATGAGGACATTTGTACAGAGCCCTGCTGTCACCTCTGTTTACTGCGAGGAGGACCTTGAGGAGATCCTTATTCGGGCAACTGAGCTCATGAACCTGCTGAAGATGCCCAGCGTGGCTCAGTTTGTGTTCAACCCCCCCATGGATGTGCCCAGCACACGGCTTCAGAAAGAGGTGAATGACTCCCTCCCTTTGGCCCTGAGGATGGTCACCCATCTCCTGGAGCCAGCTCCTGGCTGCACACCAGTGTGAGGGCAGGAGGTTTGTGGAGTAACTCACTGGACACTGCTGATACTCAAGGCTGATCTTAACTGGAAATGAGGAACAAATAATTGCAAATGAAACAGAAAACAGGAATAAGTAGAGCTGAGGCTGCTCTTCTGCTCTGAGGTTCTTTGTATTTCTGTGTCCCAGCGCCTGTTGCTTTTTTATCTCCCAAGCTTGTCTTATCCCTCCCTGGCCTGTATGCATTGAAAATATCAGTGGGTTTGTGTGAATGTGGCAGGAGAGTGAATGAATGCCTTAACACCCTGCCAGCACACCATGCCCCTTTGGAGATGTACATCTTCCCTCCCTTCCTCTGCCTTGTTTCCCTCCCCTTTGTTCTCACCACACCTGGCTCTGCACTTTTATTGCCTCTTCTTGCAGCAGATCAGCCGAGCCTGTGTGAGGTGGAGGAAGCAGAACTGACTGTTAATCTGCTGTGAGCCCTCACCACTCTTCTGTCTTACCATCAGAGTGAACACGCTGAGATCCAAGAGACAGCTGCCAGAGCAGAGCTTAGAGAGATTTATTGATCCAGTTTATTGTTGACACAGAGCATTTCTTAACATACACCAGCCCTATGTCAGACAGGCGCCATGCTGTGTTCTGTATCTGCACCAGAGGTTTATACACGTTTGAGCTGTACAGTATTAACAAACAGGGAAGTAAATCCATCCCAAGGCTCCTCCCGGGAGGAGCCAGCCCTCATGCACACTAGTAAATAGCAGGGTTTATTTACAGTCTGTTTCAATACCTGACTGCACTGTGAGCAACATACAGCTCTGGGGCTGTTTTCCAGCTCCAGGAGTGCTCAGTTGGGAGCAGAGGGTTGAGCTGGTACTGCTGGAACTTGCCAGGATGCAGCCCCAGCACTGTAGTGCAAACCAAGCCTCCCCCAAGCCCTGGCTTCCAGGCAGAGGGGAGTAAGGAGTGCATGCAATTTTTCCAAGGGCCCTAGGCGGCCCATTTCAAGTTCTGTGGGGGATGACAGGCCAACATACCTACTTGATTCAAAGTGGAGTGAATCACCAGGAGCCCCGTGGGGCCCTGAGCCTTTGCTCGCCTGCCTGGTACAGCTGAGTCAGCAGCAGGAGGGATGCACTGCCCCCAGTCCCTGCTGGGGCAGCACCCCACCCAGGGGGTGTGAGTGTGGCCTAGCAGAGAAGCAAGGCACTAATGTCTTGGTGAAGGTGCTTGGTCCATCTTGCCTAGGAAAGACAGGCCAGGCTGTGTTGAAATCCAGTAGTGGAGTGTTTCCCTTGCATGGATTGTTTTGACATCTCTCTCCTCCTGCAACGTGCGAGGCTTAAGCACAGGAACCAAAACTACAGCAGTGAGGTGTCATTAAGGCCAACCCTTTTTTAGCATCACAATCCTCGAGTGGCATTGTTGTGAGATGCCATGTGAGTATCTGATTTGCTGCCAGAGCCTAGGCCATGCAGGGTGTGATGGAGGGCTTTGCTGCAGGCTGTTATTAATAGGGTTCGGCTAAACTAGGTTTCAGTATCCATCTATATGTGGAAATCAGGTCGGGTTTATCCCGTTAATGTTGCTAAAAGCAGAGGGAGGGCTTGGCAGGCAGGAGGCCGGGTGTGCCAGGGCCTGGACAGCCGCACGGTGGAGCTGGTTCCTCGGCTCTGCTGACACCGTGGCCGGCAGCAGGTAGCAGAGCAGTTCCTGGGACACTCCAGACTGTCCTTCCAGAGGGAGCCTCTGCTGCCCGTCCTCGCCCATTGGCACGTCAGCAGCACACACTGGTGAGATGCTCCAAGCTGGGCAGGAAACGGGGTGGCCTTGCAATGGCCTGGCAAAGCTGGAGGGAGAGGACCAGGTGCAGTGCCAAGCTGTCATTTGTCTGCCTGGGCTGGTGTCAGCCACACCTGGGGTCTGGCCCTGTGTGCTGCCAGGTTCTCTTGAGTTCCTGGTGGCACAAACCCTCTGTGAGGAGAAACTCTGCTGTGGATGCCCCATGCTGCTGGATCAGTCCTAGGGGCCTTCTGCCAAGATTGTGGTGCTGGAGCCGGGCAGTAAATCTGCTGCAGAACAAGGGCAAGGGAGTCCTTTTCTTCAGGGGGCTCTCCCTGGGACTCACAGGAACTGCTGGTGGTATCAGCCCTTTGCTGTAGCTGCTTCCCATCCCAAAGCAGGGCTGGTAGCCCAGCAGCAGAAAGGCACCTGAGTATGGCACCAGGGAACTTAACTCCTGGCAATTCATCCTGCCTGGAATCCTGCTCCTGGGTGCTTGTGCTGCCTTCACCACCCCCAGAGCTAGGCACACTTTTCCAGCCTGATGTGCCAGCACCTCAGGTGGCCACTGCCACAGTGGAGCCCAGGCCTGCCCCACACATTCATCTTTAAAATCCAAAGGTGTTTCAAGTCTTCTGCCTGCCAGCATGAAATAGCACACAGGGCTCCAGCCTAGAGGAACAGAGGAGCCTGCCTACAGTCCCCAGGGGGGAGCATCCTCTTCCTGCCCCCTGCCAGAGGGGACAAAGGACCAGGAAAGCTTCTGAGAAGGACAACACCAGGTATAAGGTGAGGCTGGGCAATGGATCAGGAATGATGCTTCCAGCCAGTGCCGTGGGAGAAGCATGCACCATCCTTGCATGTCCTTTCATCTGCTGCAGCACAGGGACAAAGTGTCCAAAAGCAAATCAAGGGCAGTTGTGGAGTCCTGGTCCTCCCTTTTGCTCTCCCTCACTCCAGGCTCCCCCAGGGTGAGCCTTAACCAGAGCTGCACCCGCAGGCTGCTGCAGAAGGATCCTGATACCACAAGGACTAGGAGACAGAGGAGCTGGAACTGATTTTTTTGGCTATTTCCACATCCGACTTGGCAACCAGAAACCGCAGCTTCTTCCCTCCGGAGCGGATGAGCTCCACAGCACTGCAGAGAGCAGCAACAGGGAGAGAGGTGAATTCTGGTTCCCACAGGCTGGCAACCCCCCAGGACATTCACAGAACACCCCCCCTTTGCCAAGCACCTGCCCCCTCTGCCCTGTGCCTGCTCAGGGTTACGAGCAGTCTGTTGCTCTTCTGTCTGTAGCTTTCTGGAAGGCCTGACCTCCGTGTTAGTGCTGCCATGACAACGGCAAACAAACCCAAAGCTGCGCTGCCCCGTGGCCACCTGGGCTCTGCCTCTGAGCTGCCCCATCCCACCACCTTCAAGCGGAAGCCTGGGGTGGGATGGGGCTGGAGCAGTTCTGCACTGCTGAGACCCACCTCTGGAGCTCTCATTTTTCTCCCAAGTATACTCCCCAGTTGTTGCCCCATGCCCTCTTCCAAACCCCTCAAACAGCTGCCTTCCCCTCTTCCCGGTGTCCTGCACAGGCCACTTCTCTCTCTGCAGCTTGCTCGTACTGCAGCATCCTCTGGTTTGTGGGCCAGGACCGCAGCACCAGGGGCTCTTTGAGCAAAACAGCTGGAAACCTGGACCTGAGCAATGCTGATTCCATCCCAGACCCTTTGGCAAGGTGTGACTCACCTCTGATAGTCTGCCCCGATGAGGCTGGTGCCGTTGACAGCCAGGATGCGGTCCCCAAGGGAGAGGCGGCCGTCGGCGGCCGCGGGGCTGTCCTCGATCAGGGTGCGGATGTAGATCCCCGGGGAGCACAGGGGGGTGTGCTGTTGGCAGGGAGAGGCAGTGAGCAACAAAGGGACACGAAAGGTTTGTGGTCCCAAAGGGCTGAGCTCCCCAGGTAAGGCGACTCTCCCCCAGGGCTCACAGCCAAGTGGGTGCCTGATGCCAGGTAGGACCCTGGAAACTCTGGGAATGTGATGGGTGGGTGCTGGGGATGGTGCTAACAGGAAGGAAATACGATCCTTCAGTTTTATATCAATTTATACACAGAAAGGAGAGGTGAGGGCAATCTGTTCTTGTTCAATTTAATTAAGAGTAAAGCATCGTTAACCTGTGGCCAGGTTGGGATGGGAGCCCGGTGCTCACAGCTGTCCCAGGGCTCGGTGATGCTCTGTTTCCTACTGACTAACAGCACTGCCCTGAAAGGCCATTTAGAAAGATGACCCACCCCACTAAGGCAGATTCCAACGCTGCCTTATGCAACGGCAGAGCTGTTCTGGCACCCCTGAGCCTCCCTGCTCCCCTCCACTTCCCTTGCCACCGCTGAAGGGTGGAGGAAAGACCTCAGCTGAGTCATTTTCCTTCCACAAAAGAGCTGAGCCTGTTTGCTCTCCAGCTGCAGGACAGCTGCTATGGACTTTGCATGCACAGCTCAGAGACGTAGGAGTAGAGAGATCCTCTGAGAGATCCCTCAGTGCTTCGTTTTCCCCAGGAGAAGCAGCCTAATCCCCGTGGGAAGCCATTAGTTTCTTTACTGGCTTTTCTGGGAGTATAAACCACATTCCACGTGTCCCACTCCAGCTGTGCGAGGGGCATCAGCCCTGTCCCGCAGTTGCCAAGGACTCACCACGCCGTCGATCAGCCCCATGCCCAGCCCGCTGGGTCCCCTCTCCAGCTCCACCACGAAGACGTAGCAGAAGTCGTCGGTGGCAGAGCTGCGGCTGGAAGACTCCGGCGTGGGGTAGTCGTAGGGGGTCGGCGA